GCATGTACCTATGAACCAGGAGGTCACAGTTCAATTCCCGATTGGAGCACATGCCCAGGTTTTGTGCTCCATCCTCAATAGGAAGCATGCAGGAGACAGCCAATCAATGATTCTTATCATAGATATATCTGTCTTTCTCCCTCTCCTTTCCTCTCTGAAATCAATAAAAAAATATTTTTAAAAGTGTGATACTGCCGAAACCGGTTTGGCTCAGTGGATAGAGCGTCGGCCTGCGGACTGAAAGGTCCCAGGTTCGATTCCGGTCAAGGGCATGTACCTGGGTTGCGGGCACACCCCCAGTGGGGGATGTGCAGGAGGCGGCTGATCGATGTTTCTCTCTCATCGATGTTTCTGACTCTCTATCTCTCTCCCTTCCTCTCTGTAAAAAATCAATAAAATATATATATATTAAAAAAAAAAAAGAACTAAAATCATTTAAAAAAAAAAAAATAAATAAAAGTGTGATACTGGGGGTGGGCGCGCGGGGGGGGGGGGGGGGCGGAAGGAATGGCTTATAACATGTTTGTGCCTGAAGAGAATTTTATATTGAATGAAGAAAATGTCTGTAAATATTTACTTAAAAGGCTAACTTAATGGATAGGAAATGATTAATACCTTAGTATCAATATTTGGGCTGGATGAAAATTGATTGTTGCTGAAGAAAAAATTTGAATAAGATCAGCAAGTATAAAAAACTAAAAAAAATAAAAGTTTTTTGTCATCCTAAAAAAAATAAAAAATAAATAAAAGTCTGATACGTATCTTACATGAAGAAAAAGAAGGAAAAGTGGAGAGGGACAGGGGAGGAGGGAGTAGTTGGAGCGGGCAACTAATATTCATCTTTTATGGGTCAGCTATTCTCTTACCTCCATGGGGTTGATGAGCGTCTGGGAGGTGGCCACAGCCAGGGAGCCAGCAAGGAGGCGTTCCTGAAAGGATGGGGACCCATGCCCTTCACAGAAATAATTCTTCCACTAGGACAGGAGAGAGGAGCAAGAGCGAGTAACTAACTGTCTTTCTACCTGAAGCCCACGTGGAGAGAGAGGACTGGAGGGTGAACGTCTTGGATAGTGATCTGAGTTTGGGGGAAGTGGTGAGGACTTAAGGGTGGGGCTGGGGAAAGCAGACCATCCCCCACCTGTTCAAAGACGGAGAACTTGATGGCGTACTCAGGGGCTATCTTGAGTATGTTGATACCATTGCCCCGCCATAGGGAATGGAAGCCCCCCTCTTGGGCCATGCTTCGCAGCCCCCCCAGTAGATTCATGAAGTTCGTCTTGGAGGAGTAGACCTGGCGGTAGAGAGGTCCCTGGACCTGTGAGAAGTCCTTCACCCTATTTTCATCCCCATCCCATCTTGGAACTCAAGCCCACCCTGTCCCCAGCCACACAACCCCTCCCATATCCCCATTCCTTCTCCAGCTCCTTCCCTGGCTGGTCCTAGAATTCTCTCACCAATGCAGACCCAAACCCCACACTGAGCCACATTTCCATCCCATCCATCTTCCTCTCCTCTCCAGTCCTACTTTGTCTTCAAAGACTCTCATCCTCAATCCCTGATTACAACCCCAACCCTGTCCCTGGTACCATTTTCTCAACTCCTTCCCCAAGTCATCTCCATAGATAGGAGGTGATGGGAGGTGCTCCAGGTCGTTTTTACTCACATGCCCAATCACAATCCATCAGTTTCACATTCACATCAGCTCCATCGTCATCCCCAATTCAAACCCCTTCTCCATTTCCATTCAACCATCCCACCGGCCTACCTGCTTCCAGTTCACCCTCCCACCCCCACCTGGAACTCCATCAGCTCCATTTCTGTCCGTCCCGACCCCAATGTCTTCAGCGCCATGGCCCCCCCCCCCCCCCGGCGCACCTGCATGTACACCTGGGCACGGTCCAGGAGGGCTGTGCCAGTGTGAGACACTGCCCCAGCCGTGGCTCCTGAGAGCAGAAACTTCCACAAGGCTCCCATGTTATCCACTTCCAGGATATCCATGGGCACCATCAACTGCTCTCCTGTGTCAAGAACCAGCAGGGCAGACCCAGCTGCTGCCCATACTCAGCCAGGCTGGAACCAGACACATCTCCAGAACCCCCTCCTGGCGAAAGGCCCACCCCGGTCCTCATGGCTTCAAGATGAAATTCTAGGTCTGCTTGGAGGGAAGTGGGCCATGTTGAGGGGTGGGCAGTGGGGCTTTCTCCCCGCAATGTTCTGGCTGGAGATTCTGAGTGACCTGTATCTCACCTGCTGTGATATGAGGTGCTCCAGGTCGTTTTTACTCACATGCCCAAACACATATCCATACACGTGAGTATAGCCTGGGTTCCAGAAGACAGGTGGGGGTGGGGGCGGGGGTTGAGGAGGGGGCGAAGCTTTGGTGAACAAGGCCTTGACCCTCTTAAATAGGGTCTGGGTCCTTGAGCAAGGGTTCTGGGCTTCCGCAGGTTTCACAACCATGGCAGCTAGAGAGTCAGGACATTGAGGTTCAGATGCCTAGCAAGAGATTTGCCTACCAGCAATCATGTGGGAGGTTGTAAATTTGCCTAGTAAATTTGGGTCCCGGGGATAATGAGGTCACAGAGGCCCTTGTGACCTAGCTGGATATGGTGGACAGACTGAGGGTCTCCCCTCACTCTGCTCATCCCTCTAAACCTGTGAATGTGTTATGTTACATGAGAGGGGGGAGGGTGTTATGTTTGCAAATGGAATTTAGGTTACTAACCAACGGATAAGGGGCTGGACAGGTAATTCTGGATCAACCAAATGGGTCCAAGGTACTCTTGTGAGTCCTTAAACAGGGAAGAGGGAGCCAGAACAGTTGGTGTTGGAGATATACATTGTGAGCAAGACCTCAAGGCCATCGCTGGCTTTGAGGATGGAGGGAGGGCCACCGGCCATGGAATGCAGGCGACCTTTAGAAGCTGGAAAATGCGGAGCCAGCCCTGACGACAGCTTAATTTTAGCCCAGAGAGATCCATGTCATGTTTCTGACCTCCAATATAATTCATTGGTGTTGTTTTAAGCCACCAGGTTTGGCATCATTTGTTACAGCAGCCATAGGAAACTACTACAGGGTTTCATTGTCATGGCAACAGGAGATGAAAGTAAGAGAGAATGGGACAGTGTTGTCAGTAGGATCCAACAAGAGTCTTCACTGAGGGCATCTCCGTCCTCCCCCCAAACACCCTTTATTTTGTAGGTGGGGAAACTGAGGCTTAGAAAGAGAAGCTTGTCTGGTGTCACACTGCATGTCAGTTGCAGAGCCTCCTAAATCCCAGCCATAGCGTCATGGGATATAAGAATGCAGACACGAAAATGGACGTTAACTGGTCCAATTAAATAAACTTAAAATGCTGACACTCTATGCAAGCATGGTGGTAGTAACACTGGCAATGCTAATTCCTTGTTGAAAGCTGTGTATATTGCATAACAATTTTTCTGGTGGCATGACTCCGAGATAGCAATATCCTTTGACCCACTCCTGGGAACTGATGCTGAGGACATAGTTCAAAGGAAGTAAAAATACAAAAGTTAGCAAGATTTGATCCCTTATTTGAGTATGTGGAAAATCGTATCTGTGGATGTGCGTATGTATCAGTGAGCTACTGTGATGTAATGAATTACCGCCCCCCCCCCCCCAGCAACTTAAAATGCAAACAAGATAGTAGCTGCAGTTCACTTATAACCTAATCCTGGAAGTGATATACCGTCAATTCTGCTGTATTCTCTGGCCCAAACAAACTCACCTTGGTACAATGAGAGAAGGGATTATACAAGAATGCAAATACTAGAGGCAGAAGTCATTGGGGGACATCTTGGAGGGTGACTATCACGGTCCATACAGGAGAGTTTGGACATGTAAAGACAGGGAGAAAGTGGAATGATGGGTCTACAAGCCAAGGAACACCAAGGTTTGCTAGCAGCCACCAGAAGCTGGAAGAGGCGAAGAAGGATCCTCCCCTGAAGTCTTCAGAGGGAGCATAAGCATGCCAACACCTCGATTTCTGACTTCTACCCTCTAGAACTGTGAGAGAATAAAGTTCTGCTTTGGTATGTGTTTTTTTAAAATGTCTTTATTGTTGAAAGTATTACAGATGCTCCCCTTTCCCCATCCCCCATGACCCCAAATCTCTGTTGTTTTTATTCATGATAGCTAAAAGGTGGGGAAAAATCCAAGTGTCTACTGATGGGTGAATGGACCATCCAGACAATGGAATATTACTCAGCCGTCAAAAGGAAGTAAATTCTGACACATACTGCAACATAGGTAAATTCTGAGGACATTATCCTCAGTGAAATAACCTGACAAAAAGGACACATACTGTGTGATTCCACTCACAGGAAGTCCCTAGAGTCAGATTCAGAGATAGGAAGTAGATGGTGGGAGCCAGGGGCTGGGGGAAGGGGAGTTAGTGTGTGATGGGGACAGAGTGTCAATTTGGGAAGGTAAGAAAGTTCCGGGGACGGATGGTGGGGATGGTTGCACAACAATGTGAATGTATTTAATACCACTGAACTGTACACCTAAACATGATTAAAATGGTGTGCTCGCTTTAGCAGCACGGGTACTAAGACTGGAATGATAGAGATTAGCATGGCCCCAGGCACAAGGATGACACACAGACTCATGAGGCAGTCTATATTTTTTTAAAAATGATTAAAATGGTAAATTTTATGTTATGTGTATTTTACCACAATACAAATATATCCATCAAAAAATGTGTTGTTTTTAAGCCCCATTTGTGGTAACTTGTTATGACAGCCCCGGGAAACGAATACACTTGTGTAATTAGGAACAATACGAAAACAATTAGAAGGGCTCCTGCACATGGACTTCTCCTTGCCCCACTTCACAGATGTGGAAGCTGAGGCTCAGCGGAGTCATTTCTTGGTCTCCTCCAGCTGTGAGTGATGGAAGATGGTCCATGTCCTTTTCCTGTGGGTAGTTTGAGGGTGTCCCACCTCCACCCGCCCCTTTCAGTAAAAACCACAATGAAAAGAGCTTAGAAATGTATTCCTTTTGTTCTTTTGCTTTGAAATAACACATACAGGCAGGGATGTGGGGCATGGCATAGGTGGGGAGAGGTGGAAGTCTTGGGGAGGTCCTTTACCCGTCACAAACAGTGGTTCCTCTTCTGTAGTCCTTTAATGGGGTTCTCCAAGGACTTGGGAGGAGTGGAGGAAGGGGACCCCCAATTAAGAATCCAACCATAAAGTGCAGAATGTATATGGGGGTGTTGGGGCTTGGGTTAGTTGGGGGCTGGGGGTGGGGTGAGGGAATGTCTGCTCCTCTCCATAGGAAAGTAGACCTGGAATGAGTTCTGGGGGTTTGGTTCATTTTGCATGATCCGAAGGATGGTCTGTGTAGACAAACCTGCTCTTGGCTTTCACCTCTGAAGCCCAAGGAGAGGCTGGTAGTGCTGAGGCTGGGGGGAGGTCCCCTTAATGTGTCCCCCACCTCAGATTGCCTCACTGCCAGCCCCCAAGAAAGAGCAGCGGGACCCTCCAAAGGACCCAGGCTCTGGGAGTTATCGGCTCATAAGGTGGGGAGTGGAAGACACTGCAGAGGGTTGGGGGGAGCGTTGGAGGGAGCATTGTCCTCATAGGGCCCAGAGATATGGCCATGCTGGGGAAGTGAGGGGATCCAGTGTCTGTGCAAGGCGTGAGAGGGGCATTGAGCCATATCAGGACATTGAACAAGTCCCATGGGTTTTCTGGAGCCAGGAGGCCAGGATGTGGGGCTCCTCCAGGCTCCCAGGTCCATGTTGTGGTGGAGAAGGTCTCTGGGCTCTCATGTGTGTCTGGGTGAGGGGCCATATGGAGCCATTTTGCTGTGATTAGCCTACCGGGATCTAGATGTGGGATCTGAGCCAGTGTCTGGGAGGATTCAGGTCAGAATCCAGGGGCTAAGGAGGTGGGATCCAGTGCCTGGGAGTGTCAGGGTCTGTTTCCTGTGGGTGGAATTTCAGTATCCAGGGCCTGCGTGAAGGGATTAGAGAGCCAACAGCTACAGTTACCAGGACCCAGTGGCTCTGCCTCTGGGCTCTCGTGACTGTGTTTTTAGGAGCCAGGAGCCGGTGTCTCAGAGCTTGTGGATCTGGAATCTGGTGGGCTGGGGGCTGAGGACGTAGTGGTTTAAATGTAGGGATCTGGCAGTCAAAGCAGAGGGATCTGGGACCCAGTGAGGTAAAGGAACTCAGGAATCCACTGGCTGGGATGAGGGGATCTAGGATCCAGTAGTGGGGGCCCTAGGATCTGGGCATCACATGGCCAGGAGCTGGTGGCTGAGGTTTCTTAATATTCAGGATCCAGTGGCCAAGCTTGGGAATCCAGGGATTGGAGCGTGGAGGTCTGGGATCTGCCAGTGGGGCTGGGGATCTGGGATCTAGTGCTGTAGGAAGACACTGAATCTGGTGCCTGAGGGAGCTGGGGTCTGGGTGCTTAGATATAGGGATATGTGCTCCTGTGGTTAGGGTTTCAAGATTCATTAGATGAGTTGTGGGGGATCCAGTGGTTAAGACATGGAGGTCTAGGACCCAGTGTGTGTGGGGCGGGGGTGAGGGGAAGGGAGTCAGGGAAATATGGAACCCAGTAGGTGGGATGTGGGATGCAGGACCCAGTGGATGAAGTATAGGGATCCTGTGGTTTGAGTGGGATCCACTGGCTGGGCCATCAGTCTCTGAGGTGTAGGGGTCGTCATGATTGAGGCGAGGAATCTTAGTGAGGCCGGGTCCCTCACCTGGATGTGACCCCCAGAGCCTGCTTCATGTTCTCGTAGACCACATAGGAGATGCTCACAGCTGGGATAACCTTCATGAAGTTGGGGGCGATGCCCCTGTAGAGGCCTGGTATGCCCTCCTGGGACAGGATGTGACGGAACAGACCCAGCATGGAGAGCTGGGGGGCGCCCTCGATGGAGGCTGGGAGGGGTAGGGGCCAGGTCAGGTCAAAGGTCCTCCTCTCCCTTCCCCCTCCCACCCCTCAGGGCTGGGCCAGGTGGCAGTTACAGCAGGATAAAGGAAGGTTAGACTAACAGCAGGACCTACCACTCAAGAGTCAGGACTTCTACTGGCCTTGGAATGGACTGTTCACCTTTTCACATCAATCTGGAGGGCCCAAGTTTGGGGACTATTCAAAACAGAGTAGGTATGAGTGTGTGTAGTGGGAGAGGGCACAGTAGTGTCCTCTTCCTGGAATGATTCGCTCCCACTTCTCCCAGCTAACTCATCCTTGCAACCTCCATTCTAAAGCCAGTTCTTCATGGAAGCCCTCCTGGGCAGCCCAGTCTAAGTCAGGCTCCTTTTCCCCTTTATTCAACCCTAAATCCATAATCAACTGTGGAATGGCTTATTCGGCATCTTTCTTCCTCTCCAGCCTGTGAACTACATCTGTCTTATGCCCTGATAATCCTTCAGCAAAAATCATGGGACACAAACGCTAACATTTCCTAGGAAATTCTCAAAATAGATTCAGGGATAGTAGGGGAAATCAAGGAAAGAACCCATGAAAGAAAAATACAGAGAAACACAAGATGATAACCAGCCTGGCCCTGCCCCTCCTTAACCCGTTCCTCACCTTTCCTTATGAATCCAGCCTTGCAAATTAGATCTCGAATGACCAGCCCAAATATGCTGAAGTCTACCAAGTGACCTTCCAGCTAAGATTGCTAGGGCCCTTCCACTACTCGTTGCATCCGCTCTCCTAGTTAGGGCAAAGGGTTCCCATTCCATTGTCACAAATAGGTACACTGAGGCCCAGAGAAAGGTTGGGAATTGGTTGGGCCATTCAAATCCAGGAGTATTCCAGCCTGGGATTCTACCTACCCAGGAGGAAGAGCTGGGGAAGTGGAGGTGGGAACCAAATTGTGAGACCTTCCCACCCATCCTCCCACCCAGGCCTCACCTTGGGCCTGCATACGGGTCCGGACCAGGGCCAGAGGGTAACTGGCTATCTGGCCACAAGTGCTGGAGATAGTGCCACAGGCCAGGAGCACGAGGATGCCTGGGTCAGCCGAGTCATGGCTATATTGCTGGAGCCACCGGTTCTTCAGGGTCTGGGGTGAAGAGGGGAATAGGGTGGGTTGAAGGTGGGTGACACTAGGACCTTGGCTTCAGAGACCTCGCTATATCCCATGACAGCTAGTTCAGCACTTTGTACCCCTAAATGCAACACAATCATTTTACCTGCACCTTCTCACTCATTCCCCATCTCTACCCTCTATGGTATATAGAATGATGGCCCCCCCCAGTCCCTGGATCATGTGAATATGGAATCTTACATGGCAAAAAGAATTTTGCAATGGGATTAAGTTAAGGACCTTGAGATGGGAGATGATCTTAGAGTATTCAGGTTGGTTCAATGTCATCACAAGGGTCCTTATAAGAGTCAGAGAAGCCCTGGCCAGTGTGACTCAGTTGGTTGATGTTGTTTCGTGCACCGAAAGTTTGCCAGTTCGATTCCCAGGCTGTGGGCACGTGCCCAGGCTGTGGGCTTGATCCCCAGTAGGGGACATGCAGGAGGCAGCCAATTGATGTTCTGTTCTCACATCGATGTTTCTCTCCCTCTCCTTAGACATTCCCAGACCTGCTCTTTTGTCCACTGCTACTTTTGATTACATAGCCTGCTTTATTATCTCCTGTGAGTGCATCAGGATCTAAAATTACTTATTTGCTGGTTGACTGGCTTCCTAGTTTGCTGAAGTGGTTTCCAGGAGGGCAAGGGCTGTGTTGTTCTCATTTGATACAGCAGTCTGCCCAGTGCCCAGCAAATATGGGGTCCCGACTATCATGTGTCCGGAGACCCCGGAAGGCTGAACTGCAGGTGTAAGTGAAAGAGTGAGGCTATCTAATGCCTGAAAGGCTTCCCCAGGGTCCCCAGGTCCATGGTGCTTCTCTACCCCAGGATTGTCTCCCCTGGTTCTGGAGATCAACTGAGTCAGCCCCACAGGAATGGGTGGCCCGTGGGCAGATCCCAGAGGGAAGAAGAAGGGAGAGAGGGGCGGGCTGCCCACAGACCTCATAGACGGCCAGATCGATGCCCGCGTAGGGAATGATGCCCAGCACGTTGGGCAGGTAGCCATGGTAGAAGGCACGGGGCCCTTCTCGCTCCATGATCCGCCATGCACAGTCCAACAGCCCCTTGTACTGGCCCGTCCGGCGAAGGGTCAACCGTGTCTTTAGTACCTGGGGAGAACCCGGTTATCCCTGGAAAGTTGCCTCTGGAATCACTACACCCAGGAAGGAAGACACCTATAAATAGCTACTCCTGGAAGGAGATACCCTGAGAATAAGTGAATTTAAAAAACCGCTTTCTTTAGAATCTTCTGGTATCTCTAATCTCCATACTTAAAAATGGTTACATGTGGCAGCTACGGCTAACAGTCTTCCAATATCACGGTCCCTTCTCCCTTAATAAAAGGAACCATAATTTTCAGGAAATTATGGTCCATAGCCTTTAGAAATAAAGACTACATTTCTCAGTTTCCCTAGGCATAGGGCCATGTGATTAAGCCCTAGCCAATGAAACAGAAGCAGAAGGAGAAGAGGTATATGTAACTTTCGAAAAGCATCCTTAAAGGCAGAGATGTTCTTTTCTCTGTCTATTCTTCCTTCTTGGCTGGAATGTGGATGTGATGATGACTGGAACAAGAAGTCATTTTTGTCCACAAGGTGGATGCTACATGCGGAGGTGGTGGAACAAGATAGTGGGAAGGAGTCTGGGTCTCTAACACTTTGAAGCCACATGCCAGCACTGAACCGCTCACCGTTAGACTTCACTTATGTGATTTGCGTTTTCCATCACTCAGAATCCTACCTGACACACTACACAACCTAAAACCTACAATGATTTCTCTGAAAACAGGTTTACCTAGAAATGATACCCTTGGGAACAAGCATTTTGGAAACCAACATCCTTAGAAGAGGTATATCCATAAATGGCTTCTCCCACAATGGCCGTCTAAACAGTTACAACCAACACGACCATCCCCAGAAGTCACATTTCAAATTGCAGTTCCCAGAGAGGCTAGACATGAAACAGCACTGCTGTAATGAGCTACAGTCTGAGTCAGGGAGAGGCAATGTTATAATCCCAATGCTTATCACACCACGAAGAGAAATGACTATTGCAGGCCTCCCCACCCTGCAATGGGGCCTCAGTCAGGGTCCCCCCCTTCTCACCTCCATGGGGTAAATGATGGTTTGGGCTGTAGCACCAGCCAAGGATCCAGCCACAAAGCGCTCCTGCACATGCAGTGTCTCTTGCTGTCCCCGAATGGCCCGCTTGAACTGAGGGTGGGAGACACAGCGGTGGGCAGGACCTCAGGGGGTGAGCTTTCCATGCACTTGGACCGCCCCTTTACTGTCCTCCTGTCATGGGCATCATGCAGGGGAACAGATGTGCACTCCTGGGGACCTGCAGACATCCCCTGCCCCCAAGCCAATCCTCTGAATCCTAACCCATGCCTCCCCACAATTGCCCCCACCTGCTCATAGGCCATGAACTTGATAGCTGACTCAGGTGCAATCTTGAGCACATTGATGCCGTTGCCACGCCATAGAGAGTGCACGCCCCCCTCTTGGATCATGTTCCGTAGGCCCCCAAGGATGTTCAGCTGGTTGGTCTTGGAGGAATGAACCTATGCAGGGAGACAAGGTGACTTTGCAGTCCCTCCTAGGGCCCAGGTCTCAGGTAGAGGGTGCATCTCTCCAGGGCCCCTTACCTGCATGAAGACCTTGAGGCGGTCCAGAGGGGCTGTGCCTGTCCGTGACACGGCGCCGGCCACTGCACCGGCCACCAGCTGCTTCCACCACATGCCGGTCAGCTTTTCCTGCTTTGAAAACTCATCAGGGATAGTCAGGCACTCGCCAATGTCCAGGACCTGAGGATGCAGGGGTGGAGAGATGTAACACAGCTCTAAACAGGGGTGTCTCCAAGAATCCTCAGACACCCAAACAGTCCATCAATGAATCTTGGAGATTCCCTACCAGATCCCACCAAAACATCCAAGTCAGTCATCTGTCTCCTATGTAAGATCCTAATATCCCTCCTTGGGGACTTTGACCAAATGCCATTGAAGGATTTCCCACATAAAGATCCCTCCAGAGCCAATCAGATCACTCTGAAGGATCCCACTCAAGGGTGTCCCACATAAGGATTCCAGAAGAACCTTCCAGGGCCACACAAGGTCCTACAGGGGACCTCTCAGATAAGGCGCCTAGCAGATCCCTCCCTAGGTCTCACCAAATCCCATAGGGATTTCTCCCACATAGATAATCCCTCCTTAGAGTCCGCCTATAAACTTCCCAACCAAGCCTCCATGAATCCCCTCATGAATTTCTGCACCTCCCAAGATCTCACCATATCCCACAAATGGATCCCCTCCAAATGCATCAGTTCCTACCAGAAACACTGTTCAGGAATTCCCCCTCCCCCGGAAATGGCAATCTAGAGCACCCCTCCCAAATTCCTGTGGATCCCATTGGAACCTCTGGAGGCAGTGGCTTCTTGTCTTTTTAGCAGCAGAATCCTTAATTGAGGCATTTAAAAACCAGAAAGGGAGCTGCGTGGGTTGAGGGTAGGAGGCCAGGTGCCCTATTTGGTGAGCTCTTTCCTCCCTGTGCTCCCAGTACCCACAGCCTGCTCCCAGAGGCCCCTCAGGAAGTCTCAAGGGCTCCAATCAGATTGCAGAGACCTCCCCAAATGGGTCCTCAGCCCCTCAGTTCTGGATGGAAGGAAAGAGGAGCCGAGTCTCATTCCTTGGCTGCTCCCAGTGGCTCCTCCTTCTAGAGCAGTGGTTCTCAACCTTCCTAATGCCTCGACCCTTTAATACAGCTCCTCATGTGGTGGTGACCCCCAACCATAAAATTATTCTCGTTGCTACTTCATAACTGTAATGTTGCTACTGTTATGAATCGTAATGTAAATATCTGATATGCAGAATGTATTTTCATTGTTACAAATTGAACATAATTAAAGCATAGTGATTAATCACAAAAACAATATGTAATTATATATGTGTTTTCTGATGGTCTTAGGCGACCCCTGTGAAAGGGTCATTCGATCCCCAAAGGGGTCTCGACCCGAAGGTTGAGAACCGCTGGCTTAGAGCATCCTGACCCAGCCCCTCCGTACCCTGGGGAGACCTGAGCTAGGCCCCCAGGGGAGGAGGAAAGCCACCCCCACCTCACCGTAGAATGCTTCCAGAAGTAGAGCACGTCTTCCATATTCTCCAATGAATGCAACAGGAAGTGGTCACGCCATTCCTGCCAGTCGATAGTCATAGTGCCGTCACGGTCCATGCTGGGGGGTGGGATAGAATCAGTGCCTGATGCTGGGGGGTGGGCTGGAGTGAGGCTCTGGTTGGATTTGGAGGCAGACCAAGCTTGACTGCACGGAGAGCTGGCCATTTTACAGTGGGGGAAACTGAGGCTCAGAGCAGTGAAGCAACTGGCCCAAGATGGACTTGACTCCAAAGCTCAACTTCTCAGCTCCGACCACCCTGGTACTTGGTCTAAGGCCCAGAGGCTCCAGGCAATCAAGGGATCCCAGGGGCCAGAGTTACCTGGGATTCTGGACCCCCAACTACTCACCTGTGTAGAATTTTCTGTGCCTGCTCCAGAGAGATAGAAATGCCCAGAGCTCGGAAACTCTGCTGGATCTCAGAGACATCGATGTGACCTGGGAACCAAGGTGGGGAAGCATGTGTGTGTGTGGGGGGGCCCTGAGGCCGAGGAGCAGGACAGTTTGAAATGGGAGTGGTTTAGCAAGACCAGGGATCCAGAAACCTGGGTGAAGTTTGTGGCAGGGTTAGAGAATCCCTGCCCCGCTGGGATCAGAGAAGTGGGACTGGGCAATGTTGGGGGATTCTCTGATCCATGAATAAATGAAGAGGTGAACGTTGGGGTAATTATGGGGCTCCCTGCACCATAGAGGATCAAGAGGTGATATTGGAGACCTAGAAGATACTATGGGGAGGAGGGTCTCTGTTCCATAGGGAATCCAGGAGCAATAGGGGGGCTCTTTGTCCCTTTAAAAAATCTAAGGGTAAATAATAGGGGTCTCACTCCAGGAAGAGAAGGTTTGATGGGCTGGCTGGGCCCCAAACCACCTACCTAGCTGGGGGTGAGGAGGGTTCCTAAAATAGCCTGTGAGTCATCAGGGAGAAGCGAGCCTTACCCCTCCTCCTGGCATCACCAGTTCTATGCCCATTGGCGTCTCCCCGGCTCTCACAGCCCCATCCCTGGGCCTTACCATCCTGATTCCGATCCAGACTGTGGAAAAGAAGCAGCAGGCGCTGTTCCCGCTCCTGCAGGTATTGGGTAAACTCTTCAAGGTCCAGCCCGCCATCTGGGTCAGCACCACCCTCTGGGGAGAGGCCCTGGCAGAGGGGAAGGGACAAAGGGAGCTCCAGGAGGCTGCTCCCCATCTGGAGAGGGCATAGCCAGCATATGACCCAGGAAGCCAGGGGCCCTGGTGCCTAGAGGACAGGGACAGGGGCATTCACCCCTCCCTCTGTCGGCTGGCTTGTCAGCAAGCTGTCCAAGGCCACAGAAGGGCTCTGGGGTGGAGGATAGCGGTTGTCCAGTTTTCCCAGACAGCAAACTGAGGTTCTCCAAGGTCAAGGAACTCATTCAAGGTTACCGAGTTGGGAAGTGGGAGGTAGCACTGGGCTCTTGTCTCTGAAAGCCTGTCCTCCCAGCTGTCTTACAAAAATCTGGCCCTATGGCAGTTTCAGCAGCTCCCCTTAGAGACAGCTCTGGGCAGTGTGGGGCGAAGACAGTTCCAAGCTGAGCAGCTATAGGGCCTGTGCTTTCCCGCTGGAAGGTTGGACTGGAGGTGTCAGGATGCTATAGAGCCACCCCAGTAGCATCTGGGGCTACAGGTGTGGGGGACACCTGCATTGGCCCAGGGGCAAGTTCATGCTTTGATAGGTGCATTCCCGGAGGAGGTGGCCTGGGACAGGATCAGGTCCCTGGCTGGGACAGCCTGGGGCTGGGAGCCAGGTCTGGGAAAGGGCAGGAATGTAAACAAAGAGGCTGGGGCAACCGGTGGGGAGGGCAGTGGTGGCCCAGAGGGGGAAGGGGAGAGCGTGTCTGCGGGGGTGGGAGCAGGGTACGTCTTGGGCTGGGCAGAGTTGACCCGAGAGTGTGTACGGGGCAGTGGGCAGGAAAGCAGACCAGACTCTATTCTCAGGAAGACATCCCCTGCCTCTGGGGGACGAGGGTGGGACCCCAGCCGAACCGCAGGCTCCGGGCCACCCTAGCCCCGTTTAGAGCGAACTTGTTAGGCCCAGACACGGGTGGGCAAGGGGAAGGGAACAGAGCCGCCCAGGTTGGGCACAGGTGCTGGAGTCCAGCCACAGGCAGTTCCCGGCGGCTCCCGGAGCTCCATTCAGGGTCTCGGGTTACCCAGCGCCCGCGGGGCGCCAGCGCGGCTCGCCTGGCAGGGGTACCTGTTGGGCGGCGCGGTCCGGGTCGCCCCCGCTCAGCCGGGCCAGCCCCTGGCGCAACTCCTGCACGTCCACGCGGCCGTCCTTGTTACGGTCCAGCTCCTCGAAGAGGCGACCCCAGCGCTGCCGCCGCTCCGCTTCGCCCGGGCCCCCCCGCATGGCGCCCTCCGGGGGGGAGGGAGGCCCGGCAGCGGCGGCCTCAGCCGGGGCTTCGCGGCACCCCCTCCCCCCCGGGGCCCCACAGGGCCAGCTCCGCGGCCACCGCTACCGCAGCCTCCGCGCGGCCGGCCGGGCTCGGGCACTGGCAGGAGGCAGTGACTGCTAGCCGTCGCCGGCCGCGTCAGAACCTGCGTCGCCTGCCCGACCCTCTGGGGGAGGAGCCGGGGCGGAGCTGGGGGCGTGGGGCGGGTTGTCGGGGATGCTCGGGAATGGCACAGCCTAGGGCACAGCCTCGGGGCTCATTCCGGGAAGAGGGAAGAAGGGCCAGGTAGATCCGCGATCTCAGTTCTGTTTCCAGTGTGCCGCCTCTGCGTGCCTCAGTTTACCTTCTGCCCAAGGTGGCACGGTAGGGAGACATCAGGGGTTGGGCTCCGTCACCTCTTCCCACTGACCTCCCTCTCCTACCAAGGTCTCGTTTTCGCCAGCCACGCTCAAGAACCAACCCAACGCCATCAGGCCCTCCGTCTGCTCGCCGCTCTGCTCGCCGCTCACTGCACGTCCCCCCTCGGTCACAGAGACCCGAGAGCTCGGCGCGGCGCTGCCTCTCGCCCCTTCATGCCACCCGCTCGCCTTCTTTCTCTGCCCCACTCAGACCGGGAAACGGAAGACCAACGCGCGGCGCAGCTGCAAAGTCCATTTCCTATTCGCCAAACCGCGGGAGCCTTGCCCGCCGGGCCCGCCTTGCCCACCCACCCCGGGCAGCCTCGGGCTCCGCCTCCCCGGGCTCGCCCCGCAGTCTTTCGGGGCCGCGGCCCCACCCCGACGCCGGGCCGAGTGCGCTCTCCTGACCAGCCTCGGGTGGGGGTGCGGGGGGAGGGGGTCTCAGTGTCCCAGGCGCGGCTGGGGACCTGCACCGGGTGGCGGAGCACAGTAGGCGGGGCCCCAGCCAGTCGTGCCCACGGCAGCTGCCGAACGTCCCTCCCACTGGTTTCGGGCGCAGTTTCGCTATTTATCATTAGGGGGAGGGGCGCCCAGATCACTAGACAGCGGATAATCATAACAGCTCACACCGACACAGCGCTGCTCATGCCAGGCCTTTTACTCACCTCTCGGGTCGCCCCGCCAAGCCCTATGAGGCAGGTGGGACTGGCTTTCCCCCTCCCGGGTGAGGAAACAGGAGACTACGGCGCTCTCCCCAGTCCAGTGCCCAGTAAGGGCACAGCAGGAATTTATCCAGACCTGGGATCCTTACCCATCACTCTATATACCCTAAAAGGGATTAACTTGCCCCTGACCATCCCTCTTCACCCTACAGTCCCCAAGAGGAGGTCGTCTTATTAACGTCGTTCTTTATCCAAAGATGCAGCCATAAGGACTGGTTTCCACTCAGCTTCTGCCCCAACAGGTGCGTCTCAGACCAACAAGCCTCTTATAGACGCTTTTATGTAAAGGTAGGTCCTTGCAGGTGCCCTTCATCATGGGGGTTACACATGTTTCCCACGGAGACACCCCAAACAGGTGTTTCCTCAGCTACATCCTGACAGGTGGGCCTCATTACACATACACCTCTGTCCTGCTGCCCCCCTCCCCCCGCAGGTGCTTCAATGTGGCTGTGCCTCATACAGATCTTCTCAGGTCTTTCTCTCATGTGAGCTCAATTCTATGCAGATGTTCCTCATACAAGACTACAGTGGGGCCTTGACTTACGAGTGTCCCGACTAACGAGTTTTTTGAGATACCAGCTGTCTCTCGGCCGATTTTTTGCATTGAGTTGATAGAGTCATTTGAGTTAACGAGCTCCTTAATGAGCTCCTTAATGAGCTCGGTCTCGGAACGAATTAAACTCGTACGTCAAGGCCCCACTGTACTTCCTTCACCTCACAGGTATGCTTCTCAGCAGAAATCCGCCCAGGAATGAGTTATACAGCGTCCCCACCCGCACGGGTGTTTTCGTGTTAAGTATACACCCGTATGGGTCTGTTTCCGTATAACTGAGTCCCATACAGGTGTACTTAAGTGCAGGTGTGTCTCATACCGGTATTGCCAATACATCTCCACACAGAAATTCCTTATCCAAGTGTTCATTCCAGAGGTGAGCCATGCAGCCGCGTCCTCAAAACCGTGCGCCAGAACGCCTCAGCCAGGTGTTTGTTACAATACAGCTGTTCGACACAGCTGTTTTCCACACAGGTGTGCTTCCGGTCAGCTATACGCCAAATGGGTGTGATTCAATGCAGACGTCTCCCACAGGTGTGTTTCTTACCTGCCCTTGCCGATGTCTTTTCTACCGGTTCGCTCCCATGCAGGTGTGTACCACGCAGGTGTTTTTTCATGAGGGACTCCCCATCTGGGTCGGCCCCGAACAGGAGTGCCTCATACCACCGTGTCTCCACGCCTCGTGTGTCTCCGCACCTGTGCCGTCTTACAGACGTCACCGCAATCCACGTGGGAGTTTCCTCCTGCACTTCCGCGCTTCCGCTCCTCTTTCTTTTCCGCATTACAGGATTGGGTTCCCGTTACAGGTGCGCACGCGGCGCGGCCCCACCTCCCGCCTGGCTCCGCCCCCTCATCTCTTTCAGGTGCACAAGCCGGAAGTGCGCTCCCCTCCCAGGTGAGTGACTAAACTTTCCGGGTCACGTGAGCGGGAGGAGCCGGTGTGGTCCGGCCGAGCGACCAAGGGACGCACGGAGGGATCGAGCGAGGAAAGCAGATCGGGAACCTGAGTGAGATCTAAGACGCCCGGGCCAGGTAGGGAGGCAGGTCGCGCCGCCCCCCTCTCCCTACCCCCTTTCCTTTCCAGAGCCTAGGAATGCACTTCCCGAGTTAATTTTTAATCTCTGACCTCTGGCGGCGGGGCGGGGCTGGACTCCGGGGTGCCCTGGCGCGGGTCGCCCCTCCCTAGGCCTGCGCCTGGGTCAAGCCTCCTCCCCCACGCCCTGGCCTTTCTCCGTCTCCCGCCCGCAGGTGCCAAGTCGTAAGTACCTCTGGCCCGAGATGCGGTAGGAGCGGCGCGCAAGAAGCCCTGTCCCTGGTGCCACCAGCCTATCTCCCCAGGCCCATGGCGAGCCCCAGCCTGGGGCTGCTCCTGGCGCTCGGCCTGCCGCTGCTGCCCGCCCGCTGGGGCCGGGTCTGGGGGCAAAGTAGGTACCGGCAGGGGCGCTGGGGACCCGGGACACCGAGAGGTCAAGAACTGGGGAGCGGGCATGGAGTGCCTTGGGGGCAGCAGTCTACAAGGTCAGGGCTGGGGATTTTGAATTCCTAAGTCCTTCCTTGGACGGGTCGCAGTTGGTCTAGAATTCCTGAGTTCCTGTTTGGGGTGGAATTATGAGCCGGAGGGAGAGGAGGCCCGCATATCTGAGTCTCTGTGGTTGAGGTGTTTTGGGCTGTCTGGGAGCCTGGAGGAGGCCTGCCTGCCTGGGGCTCTGAGTCCAGGATGACCACCAGGCTGGCCATATGGGTGGACCCAGCCATTCAGTCCTTCCAGTTTCAAGAGCCTGGGGTGGGGATGGGGGTGGGGGCGGAATCAAATAGATACTCCAGGCAAAAGCAGGATCTGTCCAGATCTTTCAGAGCCAAGAAAAGGCCAGGTAGGTGGGGGAGGGGAGAGGAGGGGACAGTTGGGCTTTCACACCATCTTGTCATAGCCCCCAACTCAGCGCTAACTGCAAACTACTGTGGGCAGATTCCTCACTGCTGGGCTCCACTGGGCTGAGGGTGGCCAGAGTAGCAGTACAGCTGGCCTGGCTCCGACATGCAGAGCACCCACAGCGAGAAGAGCAGAGTTCTAACGGGGGTGGGGGTGGGGCATGAGGGCAGGGGAAATCCCCAAGGAAGGGGGCAGATGTGCCAGGATGGGAGTGATAGATGGAGCTTCATTTATTCTCTCTACCACTTCCTCACAGCATTGGACCCCACTGCATATGAGAATAGCACCACTACCACCCCATACCCCAGCTTCAATGGGGCCCTGGTGAGTTGGGGGGTATATATGTCATGAGGGCAGCAGGGATTCTATTTAGGATGCTATCCACAAGTAGCAGGTGGAGGGGCCTAGATCCCCAGAGGTGGCAGGCCAGGATGGGGGTTGGCATTGGAGAACCCCAAGTGTGAGAGAACAGAATATCAACATGACAATTAGGGAGAGCCAGGGGCCCAGACTGGGGAGACCCAGAACCTCAGGAAGGGAGTAGATGGTGGCACATGCAGTGGGTCAGGAGCCCTATAGGCCTCTCGGGAGGAGGGGGGGAATAGCTAGGAACCCAGATGTGACGGGTGCTTGGAAGGGGGACCCAAGACATGGCAGATGTGGGGGACTGGGAGCCCCAAATGTGATAGATGGGGATCAGGTGGAGGAACCAGGTCACCAAAAGGAGCAGGGGTGTGTGGGGGGATTAGGAACCCGGGATGCTTCTAAGGTGGGGGCAGACAGGATCCCCAGATTCAGGGAAGTCACACCTGTCCCCTGTCTCGCAGTCTAAGGAGGCCACCACTGCCATCATCGTGGTCTTCTCCCTCTTGGCTGCCCTGCTTCTGGCCGTGGGGCTGGTGCTGCTGGTGCGGAAACTGCGGGAGAAGCGGCAGACGGAAGGCACCTACCGGCCCAGCAGTGAGGAGCAGGTGGGTGCCCGAGCGCCACCACCCCCCAACCTCAAGCTGCCTCCTGAGGAGCGGCTCATCTGAACGCTGGGGTCCGCCACAACCACCACCACTACCCAGGACTGCCTAGCACCTGCTCCCACACAGCATCCACCACCGAGACACGAGCCCATGATGGCTCAGTTGGACTTTGGGGCCATGGGGCACCTGCCGGGCGGGCTCTGCGAAGCATGTCGCCTCTGCATGACTCTGCCTGCAATTGGGGGTGCCGGTGCTAGGGACCCGCCTTTATGCTTGCTGCACCGTCTCCACACAGGCCCGACAACCCCCCTCTCCTTTCCTTTCAGTTCTCCCACGCAACCGAGGCCCAGGCTCCCCAGGACTCCAAGGAGAAAGTGCAGGGGTGCCTGCCCATCTAGGTCCCCTTCCTCTCTTCATCTCCTTCCCTTGCTGTGTGACCTTGGGGGAAGGCTGATCCCTCTCTGAGCCTTCAAAAACCTGGGCTTAAGAATAGAAGGGGAAAAGGTGCTTCAAAACTCTGCCCCCGAGGGCAAGGGAGGGTGGGGATGCTGACATTTTATATATATATATGTGTAAAATTGATAGTGAGATATAATAAAACCTTTTTTTGAACTGGTGGAGGCAGAAATTAGCCTAGATGGAGGAGGTAAATCCAGGGCTCATAGGCCGTGGAGGATGAATTGCAAGGTTTTGAGGATCTTAGGGGCTGGGAGGGTTTCCTGGAAGAGAGGCTTTTCACTACCCTTCGGAGCCAGCAGGAGGCTGCGTCAGTGGGGAAGGTGGTGGATGGGATGGGTTTAGGAGCAGAGAGAGGGCCCACAGGTAAACTCACCAGGAAAAACCAGCTTTGGGCTCTTGAGACTTTATTGAGAGAATGGCATCTCCTCCAGATGCCTGGTCCTTAACCTTCAAAACACTTTTTAAGCTCAGCAACTCTGGGCCGGTTCCTGGCCTGGGGCTCCTGCGGATTGCTAGCGGGCACAGCAGGGGCTCTGGAGCTCTCTGGGAAACCGAGATCTGAGGTAGAGTCGAAGGTTGGAGATGTCCAGGTGATATCTGAGTTGGGCTTTGTGGGTAGCAGAGGTTGGGGGCTCTCTGGAGGGCTGGGCTGGGTGGGCACTGTGGAGAGCTGGGAGCAGGAGCTCTTCTGGCCTCTGGGCTCTCCGGCGGCCTCGTGGAGAGGGGAGAGAGGTGAGGTGTGTTGATGGGGTTCTGTGAGAGAGGATTTGAGGTCCCCGCTGCTGCTTGGGTCTGCAGAAGCTGTTAACGATTGGGTTGAAGAAGTGATTTCTTGGCTGGCCTCTGAGAGAGTGAGGTTCTTTGAAGACCTGGTGGTATCCGGAGGCTGGGGGTTTTGCAGAGATGGCAGGCCGGCAGGCAGGGACTGGGAATGGGGTTCTGGGGGGTCCTCCTCATCTGGTTGCCACCTTTGTCTTCCTGGTAAGTTAGGCTGGACGGGGGGTGGGGGGAGTGGGGAGATTAGCAAGTTGCTGGAATTTAGAGGGGGAGGGGGTGGCAAGATGGGTGGGCAAGTGGGAGAGGGCTGGAGGGCTCACCAGGCTGAGGCAGCTGTCCATGTCCTCTCTGTGGCAGCAGTCTAAGCTCTGGCTGGGCCGCAGGCTGCCTGTCCTTGTGGCTCCCGTGCTCAGACTGTCTAGTATCTCACTCAACAAATCCAGTTCTTCCCCAGACCCCAGGAAGCTGCTGTCCAGAGCTTCCTCTGCCCAGGAGTCCTGGGTAGCCTCCGGGCTCAGAGGGGGTGTCCTGTGTGAGGTTAGGCAGCCTCAGATATCTGCCCCCAACCCCCAGCTCCAGGCTGGTGGCTCTGGCAGGTTTGAAATGTGGGGATCATCTTCCCCATTAGTTCTGGCCTCCCACTTACAATATTGCCCCCTCTCCTGCCTTTGAGCCTTACCTCTCCCCCAGGGACTCAGAAGGTCTCTCTTCCTGCCGGTGTCTCCTGCTGGGGCGAAGGGGCCGGTTCTGCAAAGGACAGGTTTGGAGGGGTGGGGCCCCAGGAGCTAGAGTCAGGGGAGCTGTGTGAAGGAGGGTGAGTGTGAAGCGGGCATCAGGTACTGGGGTACACGAGGAGGGAGGCAAGTTGTCTAGATGGAGATCGAGGATGGGTGGACGACTTGGTGATAATTCCAGGTGTG